ACGTATGTCCGATCGCTCCAACCGCTCCTTTTCCAGTATCTCCCGGGCGTCTGTCGGCAGCGCTTCCTCGCACCCCTTCACCCAAACGTGAAGGCGCGTGCTGGTATCCCGCGGTATGAGCATGTGGTCCCGTGCCTGCTTCAGTGCATTCCCATCGCACAGCGTGAGGTGGTTGAGAAACAGCGCCGCCTGGGTGAAGCTCGCGGCGAAACCGTAGACCCCCTCAATCAAGGGGTTCGTGATGCCTAGCCCTCCTAATGACGGCGGCAGTGACGCTTGCTCCCAAACCCTCGTCTGCTCCGAATGGCTGGTCGGCATGCGGATGTCGCAGGCGGTAAGGAGCGTGGTGAGGAGGTCCATGCCCCACTGGCTCCATTTTTCGCGGGGTAGAAGATTCAGGGGCGTCGTCCGGGTCAAGTACGCGACACGCCTCGATATGCATCGCGTGATAAGTAGTGATGCGACCTGGGGATCCGTTCGTTCGATGAGCCTCAACGGCTTCGCCATGTCAGCCAACTGCTCCGCCAGAAAAGAAGCGGCGTCGTCGTCCGGTCCAAGGAAACTGCCCAGTAGCTGGACGCCGTCGTTTGAAAACGGCACTCCGGGGGGTAAGTGCGGTGCTTGTATCGTATTGGAGCTCCACGCAGCACATTTTCGTGGGTTGTGCTCAAGCCCCAGGAGTGACAATTTGTCGGTGAAGTACGAAAATGCTGCTACAGTGTCTCTTTGTTCCCCGATGAACGTCACGTCATCCGCATACGCCAAACACAGTACCCCGGGGTGTGTGTCCGCCGTATCGCAAAGCGTGGCATGTATTCCAGCTGCGAATAGCAGCGGGCCTAGTGGGTCCCCCTGGCGAACACTGCGTTCGCTTCGCAGTGGTTCGGAATCGAAGGTTGCATCTAGGATCAGCTGCGATGGGTTACCGTACGTGAACTTGACGAGCGGCAGCAGCGGCGAGAGGGTGGGGGTTTGTAACGCGGTGGCGATGGCTTTTCGCGAGATACTGTTGAATGCGTTCCTGATGTCTGCTTGCAGCACGAGGCTGTCGGGGCGAGCGTCCAAGAAAGCCCTGGCCGCGTGGATCACTGTCTCGGCGCCACCTGGCACTGCCACGCCGTACTGTAGAGGAAGGAAGAATTCGCGAGCTGCTTCCCCCATTGCCAGCAGGGCTGCCTTGGCTGCTAGCCTCGTCAGGCATTCGCCAATCGCGATTGGCCGAGCGCCCCCCCCTGGTTTGGCCAAGGCAATGAGGCGCGACGCGGTTAACAAATTCGCCACCGTGTCTGGCAAATTGCCTCCCAGAATTGTGTTAACCAGGGCGTGCAGATGGGTGCTGACCAGCGCATTTGTTATCGCGGAGTCGCGCAAATGCTCAAATGTCATTCCCGACGGCCCAGCTCCAACTCCATTTTCGCACCTGCCCAACAGCTTAGCGAAATCCGCGTGGGTGATGGAAATCGTTGACTTCTCCGGTGTCGACCAGATCACCTCTTCGTCGACAGCTGGTGGGTGCTTCTGGCGCAGTTCATCCAAGATTTCGGGGCTGGGCGTGCAGACAGGCGTTGACTCCAATGCAAGAACGGCTCGTCGTAGGCTGCCACGTTTCGCCAGCCCTTCGGCCCGTTTGATTACTCCCGTCACGTCTGGCCTGTGCCGGGGCGGGGGTGGCGCGTTGACTGCAGCAATCGTGTCCAGGTACAGTTGCTCCCATTCGCCACGTTGGAAGGCTCGCAGCCGGGCCTTGACTTTCGGCCAGTCCGGTCGTTGCGGCGAGGTTTGGCGAAGGGTCAGGCGCGGGAGAAATAGCAACAGACGCCAACCTGTTTCCGACTCCGGGTTTCGGGAGAGATGCTGTAACGGCGTCAGTAACACTAGCGAGAACAGCTGACACAGGTTTGGCGGTAAGCGCCGCGACAGCGGGGGCTGACGACTATCGCTCAAAGCTGCGACATCCCAATCCCCTACCGCAGCGAACAGGTCTGTTCGCTTCGCCAGTTCCTCAGACGAAAAATAGCGGGGGGCCGAAGCGGCCTGTCGTGGTGCAGCCCCCCTACTCGCGGCCCGATTTCGCCGGGCCTGACTCGGTCCCGCTGGTGAGGCGAATGTTGGAGGCTCTACCGTCCGATCAGCATCGTGCGGCGTGCGTGCCTCCTGGAGCGGTTGTGCTCGTGCTATCCTGGCCCCGGCTTCTCTTCTCCCAGAGCTCACCCTCATCCCGTCCCTTTCCTCCTCCCCTTCATCCTCGCTATCCGGCGTGGCGTCTCTCCTATAAGAGGGGTCCATTCTCTCGTCGTCTTCGTCTGCTGATTGTAGGTTGTTTAAAGCCACACGTGCTGCTGCTTGGTATCCGTTCTCTGGGCCCCCGCCGACTCCGCTTCCTGCTACGTGGTTCTTCCCGCGTGCTCCTCGCGTCCGAGATGGTGGTGATTGCCGGAGCTGATGAGTCGTCGCCAGAGCGCGTTGTCGCCTGGTCGGCTGTCGTCGCCAGGCCTCAGTCGGGACTCGAAAAGGGGACCATGGCGACGAAACCCCCTCTACCGCCTGCTCCGAACGCCGGGACAACAGTCTCTGAAAGGACTCCTCTCCACGCACCCGTGGCTCCGCAAGGCGTGGCAGCGGCTGGCCCGTCTGCTCCGCCTGCGGCTCCCGTGCTCCCTGCCCTCGTGGTGGCAGCGGAGGCTTCTCTGTCTGCTGGGGTGGCTGCTGCAATGCCTGCCCCTGCACTTGGCGCGGTCGTTGTCCCGGCCGTGTCTGTTCCCGGCGTGTCTGCGCCGCCGTCTTCTTCTTCCCCGAGGGCGGTGTCCACCACCACTGTCTCCCCTGCTCCGGTGGTTGCTCCTCCTGGCGCGAAACCGGCGGCACCTGCTCAACTGCAGGCGGCCCTTGCAGCGCAGCCGTCTCGTCTTCCGTCGCCGGATTGCCGATCGTCTCGCCCTCATTCCCCCTCGCCTCCTCAGGAACGCAAGTCGTCTCGTCGCCGTCGTGACTCTCCCCGGCGGTACCAGGAGCGGCCTCGCTGGCCTGCTCGGCCCGGTGGTCAAGGGGACTGGAGGGGTCCCCGCGGGCGCGGTGGTGGTGGGGGGTACCGCCCGCCGGTGACGATGGCCGATCTTCAGCGGGAGGTGTCCCGGGCCGTTCGCGAGGAGAGGGCGGCGCAAGGCCAGAGCAGTTCGTCGCGGGCTGCGCCGGCTCCCGAGGCTCCTCGTCCGCCTGTGTCTCCTGCCGTCCCTCCGCCGACCGGTCTACTTCCTTCCTCTGTCCTCGTCCCATCTGCTCCGCCTCCTTCCGTCTCGGCGCCTGCTCCTGGGTCACGCCTGCAGTTGCCCCCGGTTCCGCCTGTTTCGGGGGTGGAGTTTGTTGCCGCTGGGGATGGCACTGCGGCTCTGCGTTCGCACCTCGCTGCTGCTGATGCGCCGCTGCTATTTCTGTCCGAGGCGCTGCAGCCTCCGCAGACGCGAGTTCCGGCAGCAACTCTTGGCCAGCTCCACCGACTGGCGCAGAGCCTCCACGCGTTGCTGCTGATCCAGGTTCTTGCTCACTCGTCTCTCCCCGTGATTCCTGAGGAGACGTTCCGCGGCCGCCAGCGTGACACGTGCTTGGACGCGGCAGACCAGCTCGCGACGCTGTTGGCACCCGTGTTGGCTGAGCCCGCGGAGGGAGGCGCTGCTGCTGCGCGACAGCTTGACGATGCTGTCCGGGGCCTGAGGAGGCACTTGCGCGCTGGATCTGGAGCCGCGGCGATCGGCGCAAGCACAATTGTGGTCCGGGAGTTGTGGCGCTCCCTGACGGGCATTCTCCATGCCCTTGGAGCTCACCGCCTGTAGGCGCGGGCTCTTCTTGCACTGTTGGGGCAGCTTGCACTGCTTGACGCGGACGGGATGTGGCGGCCGCGTGCCCCTGGAGCTCACCGCTGCTGGTTGCGGGCTCCTCTTGCTCCATGTATCTCTTAGGCCTCTGTGGAGTGATGCATGCTTGTGTATTTTCCTATAGTTGCTTATGTTGCTGTTTTCCTTGCCGCCCTTCACGCGCGGCCGAAGGCCGCGCTATCGAGCGTCGGTCGCCGAAGGCGGCCGGCGCGAGCCGCTCGGTTAGGAGGGCACACGAACTATGAAACGAATAATGAGGCACTAGGAACAGATCCTAGGGCCTTTATACTAGGCTGGAGGTGGCTGGAGAGGCTAAGGACTAGGTCTCTCTCTCTCTCTCTCTCTCTCTCTCTCTCTCTCTCTCTCTCTCTCTCTCTCTCTCTCTCTCTCTCTCTCTCCCGCTCGGTTAGGAGGGCACACGAACAATGAAACGAATAATGAGGCACTGGGAACAGATCCTAGGGCCTTTATACTAGGCTGGAGGTGGCTGGAGAGGCTAAGGACTAGGTCTCTCTCTCTCTCTCTCGCTCCATTGCTCTCCATCAGTCGCATTAACTCTTTCCGTCGCTCCCGTGCTCAATCCCGGTCGCATGCGCGCGCTCCGTCGCTCGAGTGCTCTCTCAATGTCCCGTTCTCTCTCTCCATCGCTCCTGTGCTCTCTTGCCTGCCCCGTACTCTCTCTACGTAGCTGTCGTGCTCTCTCGCTGTCCCATTCTCTCTCTCCGTGGCTCCCATGATCTTTCTCTTTCGCTCTCTCCGTCGCCCCTTCTTGTACGTGCGCAGCCTTTGGTCTAGATTATGAAGACTATTTAGAGTCTTAGTAATAAGCACATGAAGCTCTGGCCTCAACCGTGTGAAAGAATTTGCTGAAAAACCACAAGGTAGAAAGTTCAAGTAATTTCATTGAAGAAGGCATACAAAAACAGAAAACACAAAGCAAGTTATAAGCAAAAGGGTTTCTGATTTCGCCCTCGCGCCGCGCCTAATTTCGAGCTGACTTGTACTCGGCTCAATTTCCAAATCCAACCATGCACCGAACGCGCCTCGAGTTCGAAATTCAGACTTCCTTGGACGCGCCTTTGACCCGGCGTGACTTCTCTTCACGTCACTTGAAAGCACGACATTTCAGCCATGTTCTTCTCCATTTCAGCACGCTTCCTCTCCTTCTCTTCGTTTCCCACTGCAGGTCGCGCTGCTACCGTGTTTCTCCTTCCACCGTCCCAACATAGGTAGTATCTCTTCTTCTTAGGTCCTCGCTTCCCCATAGTCTCAGCTCGTCAAAGTAGGTTTTTCTTAGGTCGATGTAGGTCACTCCAGGTTGTGCTAGGTCATGGTTAGCTAACCACCGTCAACACCCCGTCCTCTGTACCTTTTGCATTCACTCTCTCCCTCGCTGCCGTGCACTCTCTCGGTTGTTTTGGCTCTCTCGCTCGCTTAGGGTGCTCTCGCTCGGTCGCATTGCCCTCTCAGTCTCTACCGTGTGCTCTCACGTTCACAATCGCCATCTCAGTCGCTCTCGTGCTCACCCCCGGTCGCATGCGCGCGATTTGTCGCTCCCATGCCTTTTCCTTTTCTCGATTGCGCGCTCCGTCCCTCCCGTCTGCTCTTCGTTTCGCATTTCCGCACTCTGTCCCTCCTGTCCGCTCTCCCTGTCACATTCACGTGCTCCGTCCCTCCCGTCCGCAGGCCGTTTCGCATTCACGCACTCCGTCCCTCCCGTCCGCTCTCTGGTTTCGCATTCACGCAATCCGTCCCTCCCGTCCGCTCTATCACGAATTATCTATCTCTGTCGCTCCCTTGCTCTCCCACCGTCGCATTCTCTCTCTCCGTCTCTCCCCTTGCTCTCCCACCGACGAATTCTCTCTCTCCGTCCCTCCCTCGCTCTCACACCGTCGCATTCTCTCTCTCCTTCCCTCCCTTGCTCTCCCACCGTCGCATTGTCTCTCTTAGTCTCTCCCCATGCTCTCTCACCGACGAATTCTCTCTCTCTGTCCCTCCCTCGCTCTCACACCGTTACATTCTTTCTCTCCTTCCCTCCCATGCAACCACCATCACATTCTCTCTTTCCGTCCCTCCATCCCTCACACTGCCCCCTCTCTTCCTCCCTCACACTGACCCCGGGGAAAGAGCGGGTGCGGTTTCCAAGTTGGAAACCAGTCGTAAGCGATTGGTTTTCGGCTGCAGGCGTTTTCCCCGATGAAGCGTGTGGTTTGCGTGTATAGTAGCTTGTTGCTCGCGAGAAGGTTTCGAGTGGTCGAGCAGCTGGAAGCCAAACCTGAAGATTTGGCTTGGATAATTTCGACGAACTGAACGGAGACAAGCGGCGCATCAGCAATATCGACACGATAAACACTGCTTCGGCTGTTGGAATCTGGATGTTGAACTAAGGTCGTTATTTTTTACACGTCTCTTTCAAAATTGACGGCCCAGCGAAAGTGATGCAAGTCAATTGAAATGGTGACTCGGAAGTTAGCGTGTATTGGTTTCTCTGATAAAATTCAATCGTTAACTTTCAGGCGGCATTTGTGCATGTAACGGTGGCACTTGTGCATGTAACGGTAGGGCCCAATAGAATGGTAAATATAATAAATTTAATAACTTCATCTACTCCGCACTAGCAGTACTCGAAACATAACAAACGTTGCTCAACATTATATATTTACTAAATTGACACTGTATACACAAAATTCGTAGCCACATATTAACTACACTTACAACTACACTACCTAAATCTAAAACAGTTCTACCTGCACCTGGTACGGATCATGACCCCTGCGATGAGCGCTGGTCGGGACAAGATCATCAGGGGACAGATCCCCAAGCCCATCCCCAGCGAGCTCCTCTTCAGAAATGTCGGTCCAACCGACGATGCATAGCTTCCCGATGCCAATGCACTCTCCCTCGCGCTTAACTTGGCTGGCGTTGGTCCAACGCTGCACCACCCGTGCATGCCTGGCGAGAGCTCCAGGATCCCTGGAACGCGTGAACTGGGCCTTGTTGCAGCAGGGATTGCGCAATTTGGAACGCACCTGAGACAGTTACCACAAAAATTGTAAGCATTACATTAGGATAAAATACCATCCGTAAAACTAGAGAACTCACCACTGCAAGCAGCACAAGAAGCTGCTCAAGAAACAAGGCAATTGGGAGGGACCCGTCCCACTCAGAGTCCCATAGAGCAGCACATTTAATAAAACCGTCGGTGGAAAACGGGACTCCGTTAAGGACATGCCAGGGTAATCCGAAAAACTCTGCAGTGCGACAATGAGAAGGTCAGATACAGGTTTACGGATGGTACAGAAAACGGTGAAGAAGCCTACTTACTGGAATCGTTCCTGGTGACATAGACTTCGCACTTGCTAGAGAAACCCTTGGGCTCGTAGTAAATAGTCAGGCCCTTCAGGCTACGCTTCTCACCCATGAAGACACAGGGCTCGTTAGTCAACGCGAGGATGCGGGTAAGTCGGTAGATCTTACCGATGCGATCATTGAAACGCACACAGGCATGCCTCAGCTTGCCTTGCGACGTCGCAATCGCAGCCACTTTCAAGCCTTCAGGTGAGTCTGGCGTGTGGCCCGAATGCCTTGCATACAAAAAAAATGTAGTCAGCTTCCATAGACTGACAGCAACAACGGAGACAACAGAGGGCAACCCTTACTAATGAGCGACTTGAGCATGTCATCAGAATCGGGAGAGAGATTGAGCATCTCTCGGTTGAACAGAAACTCATCGCAAGCCTTCTTGGTGTAGACCTGCGCGCTACACAAAAGACCTTAGTAATCCGACGTTTCTGGAGGAAATGAAATGCAACTATAATAATTCAACTTACCTCCCAGGTGAGAGCGCTGGCGTCAACTTCCGAGGCCTTCTTAGCAAGGTGCGTGATAAGCACGAGGCAGTCCTTCAATTCCCCCGCCCTACGCACATTCTCCTTGCAATATGCATCCGCGATCGCCTTTTGAGTACCCGCCTTGGCTAACAGCTTGTCGTTCACCAAGGGTTCGTCGCGCTCTTCCTCGTCATAAGCTGCGGCCTTAGTAGCGTACACCCGACCTTTAGCGCGTGACATTATCAACTCCATCGGGCTGGCATCAGCCTTTCCTGTTGGTGGACAAAAACAAATACGGAACAACAACATTAGTCATGGTTGCAGGCAACAGAATCCAAGGCTTAGAAAAGTGAGTAGAAGAGTGAACCACCTTTTTCAGCGGCGGGTTCCTTGTCCGCTACGACAGCGACACAGTTATCGATAGTTTCGATAAAAGCAGGGAGATGACCACCGTCACCGGAGCCTTCGCGACCACCAGCAGTGTGGGCAGAGACTGCAGGAGCCTTGTCAGGCTGGCCCGAAGCCTTGGCGGGCTGGCCCGGAGCCTTGGCGGGCTGGCCCGTAGCCTTGGCGGGCTGGGACGGAGCGACACCAGTGGTCGGCGAAGGCTCGGACGTTCCAGCGCCGGCAGCAGCGTTGACATCTTCGAGGCTCCGATGAAAGGGTTTTTGACGCGGGCCCGTAGGGTGACGACCAGCCGGTGGTTCCTCCGTCTCTTTTTCAGTATTGGTTCCTGCATCGTACAAAAACAAAAAAAAGGGAAAAGTAAAAACAAAGATAGTTATGGACATAACTGTAACGAAGGCTAGTGTAACACAAAAAAACCAAAGTTACCTCCTGCGGAGGATGGATAGAACAAATGCCGTTCCTTGCTTTTCCGCGGAAGCGGTGATCGAGTCTGGTGCATTTTCAAAGAATCAGGGACAAGGTTTTTAGATTTGCCAGGCGCCATGGATTCTAGGGATGAGCCAGTACAACGAAGCGTATAGCCAGCAAGACGCCTCGCTACAAAATTTATATGCAAAGCAAACGTGACAATACAAAGGAGAAGCTTTGGGTGAAGGAGCCACTAATGAGAGTGCTACAATGACTGAAGATGCACGCACCATGATTGGACACTCCACCAAACCTGCGACAGCGGTCGCAGCGAGTGGAGGCTCGGCATGCGACGCGGGAGTCTTGGCGAGGGTAGAAATGGTAAGGAGGAGGAGTCGAAGTTAGAAATTCAAAATTTGAAATTCTAAAACAAGAAACAACTACACAGCATGTAACCTCACCCCTGCCAACGGGAAAAGGAAATGGGGGGGTGGAAGAGAGAAGGGAAAGGGGGTGGTGTGCGGGGTACCAATGATGTGGTAGGCTTGCCGCGTGTGATGAAGTTGATTTGTGGGACGCGCGGTGCACTTCTCACCTGGGTTGGGTCGTGCGAGGGTAGCGTCCGAGAAAAGAAAGGATGTGGGTGGCTATGCAGCGTGTATGTGGACAACGCGCGGCGCGCCCTTCACAGCTAGGGAGAGGTCACACTGTTCAGATGTGTTGGCATGCTGCGCTGCAGCAGCTGCGCTAGCATCGGCAGCAGCTTATGACTGGCTGGCATTCGACGGGGATCTGTTGCGCTGGCTGTGGCTTTTGGAATCTTCGACACGTACCGTCCTTGTTGGTGTCCAGCTAGCTAGTGGAGGTACAGTAACGGCAGAAACATGGCACGGCGCGCTGGAACTGTGTTTGGATGTACAGCAGCAAGAACACCGACACAGTAAAACAGGTGCAACACAACACGAAACCGTCCAAGCTCAGCAGCAGTTTTATTGTCGACGTGGTTCGCCACTTGTGTAGCATTAAATTTCGGATTCACAGAATTGAGACAATGCAGATCTGACGGAGAACTGGGTAAGTCACGAAACCTAAGCGGAACTAGAGGGTGTAAACCAAACCCAAAGTCAGCATTGTTTGGGAGCGAAAGTAGACGTGGGTTGCGGACCGTGCTTACCTAAACTTTGAACAGATTTGAATTAGATGGCACAAACGGATTGGAAAAAACACGTGCCAACAGTAACATGGTCATAAAAGTTTCAACAGTAATCCTTCCTCAGTCGAGCGTGCAGTGCGGCGCAGTGGTAAACGGGATTCAAAGAATCAGATCCCGCGTGCAGTGCGACCCAGCTTCCACAGTCGTCCGAAAGTGTTCCGGATTTCACGATTGTGTTATTTCTGTGCAGACTTGTCTCAGGAATAAAAACACACCCATGAGATTATAGATGTGAATGGATTCAAAAGTTTTACCATATAAAACATCAACTATTGCCTCATTCTGAGCCAAAGAATGTATACAAGAGCCCAACCTTTGGAAAAATACAACTGTACTATAATATAATATACCGAGCACATATATACAACAAATCTCCCTACCACTTGAAATTATTCAAAATGAACTTTGCGAGAGGATGCGACGGATCAACGGTTTTGGGAACAACATGGCGCACACGCAGTATACTCTCAACTGGAAATACCCCATAATCGCGGTGAGATGGCCACCAGGCAAGAGTCTTCATATCCATCGTCTCTGAGTGCTGCTGGACTTCGTAGTAATGACCAAATGCAAGGTGCTCCGAAAACTGCTCATCGTCGCCGTCGCCATTAAGCACTGTCCATCTCAATGTGAATAGTAGGAAAATCTTCGCGTGCCAAACCACCTTCTGCTTGTTGTCATCTTCGCCCTCAACATCCACATCAGAAAACCAAGGTTTTTTATGGAACAGTGGAGTTGCCCGTGCATACTATGGATACCTACTATACCTCGTAAAATCGTCGTCCGGTGGTACCGCAACACCTCCATGCACATCTATCATCTCCTGATAGTGTACATCCTCTTCAGGATGTAGCAGCTCCAAATACGCCCCAATTGACTCACCCAAAAGGTCAAAGTCGCCTGGTACGCTTGCAGTGTATGCTCAGTAAGTCTTGTCTCTCTTGTTTCCCACCCTAAACCTCGCTGATGTCCCCGTGATTGTTGCAACTCCTGTCTCTATGGCCTGCACGTATAAATACAGGCAGAGGGTTGTGTCAGATATATATGACATAGCTGTTGTAGGCTATAGTGGGGTAGCACATATGGGGTACAGCTTTCTAGGGTTTGTATTTGTACCCAACTTTCACTTAGTCATTTTCATTCCTGTTCATTCATTCTCACATGGTATAGAGCGGGTTCCCTGTGGGAACCTCGCCTAGGGCCCACCGAAGCACACCCCGAGGCGCGCATTTTTTTTAGCGACCCCTCGAGTCGCCCTTTCCCTCGCGGCCCCGCTGTCCCTCAGACGCGGCCCCGCCACCCTTCCTTGCGGCCCCGCCATCACTTCGCGGCCCCGCCGTCCAGTCGCGGCCCCGCCGTCTGA